TTGCTTCATCTTCAAACAATATGAAAAATTCTCAAGAAGCTTCCTAATACCTAGTATATATTGGAGTTAAGATTGAGGAGATCTTCAGTCTTGACAATACATCTCTTGGAGCTCTAACTCATCTTTCTTAGTGTTGATCTTATACTCATCTGATTTAATCAAGTTTTTGCTAGTTTTCTAATTAAAATTCTTATATCCAACTTCTTATTTGGTCTCTTAAATAGTATATCAGTGACACAAAAAGACTAAAATTATTTAAATTTATTTTTATACAATTAATGAAGTTATTAAGTATAATAAATATTTTTCTAGTTTCATTTCTTATCATTTATTTTCTTGTAGTTATTGTATTATAATTTTCCAACTCTTAAAAATTAATAATTAGATGTTAAAAGAAATCTCAAATGTGTATGTATATATATATATATATATATTATTCTTTTATAATATGATTCGGATGGATTTGATTTAATTGTGAGACAATTATCATACAAATATTATAAGTTAAATTTGTATTGTATTATTTTCAAACTATGAATACAATATCTCTTAGTATAAAAATATTTAATGAAAGTATTGAAAGTACTATTTGGTTGTAGATAGAATTTTAATCTATAGAAACTATAGTTAATTTATTTACTTAAACATAATTTTTTATTTAATTGAGCATTAATTATCAAATGTTTTGTTTAATCTTTCACGAGCATAGGATTTTTGACCCTCTACCCTACTATAATTTAGTTTTTAATACTTTTAAAGCCATAAAGGAAATTTAGGGAAGAAAGAATTATTATAAATATATCTATGTAATCATATACCATTACAAAATAAAAAAAAGGTTTAATATTAATTATAGTGAGAAGAATACACATTTATAGAATCTACATCAATATTTTATGAGAGAGTAAGTTATAAAAAACTTTAAAGGTGCAGAATAATTTTACCTCAAACTGTATTTTATTTTAGTGATTCCTTAGGTATAATCTATACTTTCTATAAACTTCTTAAGATTTTTTATTTTTTTAGAAATATTTAGAAATATTTTAATTTGATTAATACCAACTAGCTTTGATAAACTTCTTTGTATAGAAATGTTTGTTGTAAGTTGAGTGTGTAGGCCATGGTCCTTGGATAGGCCAACAAGACTATAATTGTTAGAGTAGGCCAGTGCCATCTGCCATAGAAAATCAATGAAAGATAACTTTTACAGTTTCAAGTATATAAAACAGATAATCGTAATTGATTCTAGAACTCTCTTTATGTTTTAATGTGTCAATAGGCGTTAATTAAAAGCCCCTGATGCAAATAACCCAAATCAACTGGAGAAGACTTTCAAAGCAGCAACAACAACAAAACTCTAGGAACAAAATACTTGTTTATAATCATGTGATGTCATGCTGGATCATCAAGTGAGGTGGCCGTAAATGCACGACAATACTGCAGCCATCTCCAGAAGAAGATATGAGAACAACAAGAATTAAATTACAAAGGCAAAGCTGGACGACGCTGCTACAGTTTGAAGCGGAGCAAGGCTGCACATGAGAGAAGGAGGGCTTGGAATTGCGACAGAGATGGAGAATTTCACCGCGGGAGGCAGCGTTGACAAGTTATTCAGTTATCAAATGTGAAGCAGGGAGTTGAAGCAATGGAGGATGGAATGAGAGGGAGGGTGGGAGGGAGGGAGAGTTGCCCAAGGTGACCCACCAAGGAGAAGGAGGAGGTCCACGACCCCTTCGCAGCAGCGTTGGCAGTAGCGGAGCCCAGGGTCTGAAGATTTCACTCATCGCCAATATTCCTCGCCTGCGCGAGCCGCTTAACGAGGCTTCAGAACGTGGTCCCAGTGGATTGGGTCTCCACTACACTGGGCAGGCCCCTGATACAAACAGGATACGCGTAGTCTTTGCGGGGCAAGTGTGCAAGCAGGCAGGCAGGTAGGCAGGCGCGGACGAGACGTTACGTAACGTCTCACATCCCTCGGAGGAGAGCATCCCCTGTCTTCTCTGCTGCAACCTAATTTTTAGACGATGGATGGAACAGCACCTACGAAGGAGTCATGGACCAGGTATAATATGTGGTGGTAGTTGAGGTGGAAGCCCTATCATCCCATCCCCTCGTCAGGATCCACCTTATCAAAGCGTTCAGCGCTTTCTCGAAGGCCTAACCCCAAAATCACCACTGGGGGGCTGTTGCAACTTCTGATCAGGGGAGGGGGGCGTTACGGAGCCGGGGCTCAAGCAATCCAAGGCAGAATCTAGTAACTCTATCTGTCTGTATGGCTGTCTGATCAATCCTCCCCCTTCCTCTTCTCCCCTCCCCACGTCGTAGCCTGCGACGCTCCCCACCCCCAGGTGTGTGTGTGCCGTGTGTGTGCCGTGTGTGTGCCGTGCCAGGGATCGCGTCGTCCTCTGTTTTCTTTTGTAACTCTGGAAGGTTGCTTTTATGTATAAAAACAATATATGCAAGCTCTTTGCTACTCAACTTCCTTTTTGACATAGGTTTTGGATTTCTAAGCTAAGTGGGGAGGTACAAAAAAAAAAAAAAAAAAAAAAAAAAAAAAGAGAGAGAAAGAGGAAAAAATGGACTTCACCAATTTCTCTAGTTGGAGTAACACTAATTTTTAATAATTATTCTTTCGAGGGTCCACTCTGCAGGTGGATTCTACTCTGTCTTCTATAAATAGCATGTGTGGAAGTAAAGACTAATATATTCTTCTTCTAGTACTTTTTTCTAATTATTTTTTGTGTATTTATTAGATGTTAATAATTACTACTTAGTATCACAACTGTCGGTGATTTGTTACCAACTATCGAAAGGAAAAATATACCATTGATACATATAAGTATGTCTGTTCCAAAGAACTACCTTTGTATTTATAAAAGTCAATTCTATCATTGTTCATATATGTATATATGAAAAAGTCAAATTTTTATTTAATATTCAAATTAATGGTTGTAATGTAAGTTATTCAAAAACTATGGAGATAAGGTTTTTAATACCCATAAAAATTGTGGAGATATATTTCTTATGTTTTATTAAATCCTTAAAATTTTCTCAAATATCTTTCAAAACAATATTTGATTAAATGCACACACTCATCCATACATGCTATTGTTATAAAAAAATTGTGATTCTATTTATAACCCTGATTTCGTCTTATTGTATGCAAGACATTGAATATTATTAAAAAACTATAAGACTGTGTCATTATGTTCTGAAACTAAAATAATCAACACCACCACTTCCTAATACATAACTTTCAATGATTAAGCTCTTTTCTGCGTTAATTTCTTTGTGATAAATATTAATGTTTCGCAAGCATTTTAAAAACAAATACGTGGAGCCCCGCGTAGATATTCATTGTGTAGGTGAAGGGCTGGCCACCGCCGCAGAGATATTAATCGTATAGGCGAAGGGCTGGATACCCTCTCGTAGATATTAGTCGAACAGGTGATGGGCGGGCTACCCCGCGTAGATATTTATCGTAGAAGTGTAGGTCTGGCATCCCATGCATAGATATTTCATGTAGAAGTGAAGGTCTGGCATCCCCCGGACAATCATTGATGTAAAGACAAGCAGAGTCTTTACAATGATGCTATTCTTCAGATTAGTGTGAAACATTTCATAACCATTGGATTGAAACACTTATCTTGTCAGTTTGTAAAGTCTAGAAGGTAAATCCTTTTTTTTGTGTGTGTTTCTATTGATATTTGTATTTTAATTGTTACAAATTGAAATCACTTTGATTTATTTTATTTTACTTTATTTTATTTGGTTAAACATCCAAAATAATAATGTATACATTTTTTTAAATGCCCACAATTAAGAGGGTCTTGAGACTGGGTCACATATTCTCTAAGGAGGTATCTATATCTAGAAGTTCACTCTGAAAAGTCAGAGCGTAAAAGCTGTAAAATGTCTCCCACTTGGTGAAAAAGATCTCTGCTATGGAAACCTTGGTATTTGGAGGTTGTATTAAGTGAAGAGAGGGCATGACATGGGTGTAATTATTTTTTATGACATTAAATATGGCACTCCTATCTTGATTCTGAAGATCACGAAAATACAAACATAACTATTAATTTTTTAACAGATTATTTGTAGTAATTTAACTTGACATGGTTTCTTAATTTCCTTTGTATAAATAATCTCTTTGGTGTAAGCCTACCACGATGCCCAAGGGACAAAATTTTCCACGCCATGTAGGAAAAAGTGGAATCCACCCCATCTTTTTCTTTTTATGGTTTTTAAGCAAAAAGTCAACCAAGTGAGGCTTCTTGATTCCAACCAATCATAATAAAATTATAATAAAATTCAGAATGTGGTTATTAGGATCAAAGTTACGGTCTGTCAGTGTCCTAACGATGGTTGGCATTTTCATCAACTTGTTTGAAATTCCCCAAAAAGCAACAAAAACTAAGATAACTATAAAAAATAATCAAAGTAGACAAATCAGCTTTCAGATCGGAAGAATTGGAGCCACAAACCCAAGTCCAAAGCCACAGGGCAGTTGTAGTTGGAGAGTGTACGTACACCGAATACACAAAACGTAACCTGGTTGGGGGTCTCATGTACAGTACAAACGCTGTGAAGAAAAACCTATAAATAAGGAAAGTGGGGAACCAAAGAGTAAGCAGTGGAGCAAAAGTAAAAGCTGATGAGTGATAGCCCACACAAAGTAAGAGGGTCAGGCTATGACCACTGTTGAGGAGTAGGTCTGTTACGGCAGAGGTATGACTAGGTGACTCAATTGGCGGTTTAGAGGCGATGTGTGGCTGGGAAGGCTTGATGGAGGCTCGTGTTGAATTCTAGTTAGTTCTTGTCATGGAGGCACGAGAGTAACAAAGAAAGAGAAGACACAGACACAGATAAAGAGAAGGAAAGGATGGGGCTTTGTTCCCATGGTCACTGGTGGGCGGATCTACAGTAGAAGCTGCAGGAAAATATATATCTATTAATATTAATACAATTTCCTTATTCACACTACGCAGAGAGAGAGTGCCGAGTGGACATGCCGAAATTTTTGTCTACTAGTTCGGCGGCTGAGTTTCACTTTTACGGGCCTTGAGAAATACATCGTAGTGGATGAAGCGTTGGAGTGTCGGGGTGTGAGTTGCCGTTACAGCGAGAACATCCGGCGTCGTTGCTGATCTTTCGGGCGAGGTGCGAAGAGGTTCCAGACCTGGGTCTAGGTCTGGATGGTGGGGTGGATTGAGGATGGCGTGTGAGCTAGCGAGCGAGTCGGGTGGAAGGCGATTTTTTGGACTGACAGAAGTATCTACAGGGAGGGTGGAATTTTTGCGAATGGCTGCGGGGTTACGAATGCTGGACGACGACAGAGAGTTCGGGAAGCGGAAAGGCCTGGCCAGTATGTGATGGGATGGACTGGGGAACTGGTTTAGAAGCTGGTGTGTCGACAATTTTATCCGATGTCCGCCCCCGGATGCTCAGTTACTACAATTGCAGCGTCTCATGACCGACATGGGTTTCTCTAGCTTTGACCCCGGTTGCCTCGGATTGTCGCCAAGGGTTTTACTTGCTATGAATTATCTTCTTGCAGTCTAGGACAGTTGTGGGAGAGAGGGACCTTCTTTAAAAAAAAGTAACCATCGGCAGTGCGGTGGTTTTAGTAAAACTTAAGGGAGACTAGTTGTGCTTCAAAGGAACTGTCTTGAGCAGTGACCATGGATGTAGTGAATGGGAAAATTGTGTCCGTGAGGACGGAAAGATCAGAGATGTGGAGTGCTCTCAAACCCTCTGGGAGTCGTGTGTTGGACGTCGGCGGTGGAGAGTGTGAGCAGTTATTTCCTTGCAACTCATTTGGGACAAGCTGGAATCGGACACCTTGTGCACCACGTACTGGTGGGTTGAATTCTTTCCGGCATCATAACATCTGGGGAGCTCTATCCACTCAAGGCCATGGAGTCCCTTGCTCAGCAGGCCTAGAACCTCAAACAATGGGGAAATGGACCAGGTTTTCTCCGGACTTTCGCGGGACCTTTCATAAACCACAACCAGCAGCTTCTGGAAGGGAATTATCTACATCAAATCACGAGAGAGGATTGCTCGTCGATGATCATCGTTGGGGATGGAATCCAACTAGAGCTGTTGATCAGCACCTTCCTGACCTCAATCAAAGCTCGTGTTCTGAACCGTCATTGTTCGACCACGAGATGGTCATGTTCGAGTCGCAAATCACTAGACGGGTTTCCAGCCATCTCCTCAAATCCTCCCCTACACGTTGTGCACCGCCTGTAGTTCCGGAGACGTCGCTACCTCCTGGAAGTCCTCATGAAGTGGTGGAAAAAGGCTCTGTCTCATCCACAGATTTGAACAAGGATTCGTCAATGGAATGCTCCGCAGCAAGGATTAGTTTTGAAGAAGCTTGCGAAATGCAGTCAAGGCCAACCTCGACTTTGATCAGCAACTCCTCTGACCTTAAGAGGAAAATATTAGACCCCTCCAGAAATGATCAGGTGGGTCAGTCGCATTACTATCTTAGCATTTCCTTTGTAACAAGAATAAACTACAAAGCGAGTGGTTATTCTAGGTTTTCAAGCTGCTACAAACGAATGCTCATGGAAGGACAGAGACGAGTACCACTAATTTGGTGTTGCATGTGTTTACAGGAGTGGGATTGCGGGTGGATTTGGCCTTTGAAAATCCTCATTCGCAAGGAGCTCAGTGTGTCTGACGTCGGGGAGCTTGGCAGGATCATTCTCCCTAAGGCAAGAGATGTCCTCTTGGATCCTCTTTCTTACCCACTACCCAGGGATGCTGTTCGTTTATGTAAGAATAAGATGCCAGGGCCCTCCAGTTTGACTGCCAAGTCTTCCTTGTTTCCTGAAGGAAAGATACAAAGTTATTACAATTGCCTCATTTAAACTTAAGTTATTTCAAAATCTTGATTTGCGAAGTCAAGGGACAAACTAAACATGGTTTGGTTTTTGCGGTTACGAGGTTGGTAACTACAAGACGTACAAACAGAGAAAAGAAACGAGTGCGTTTCTTATGAGTCATGGCAGTACAAAGCCATGAACTAGAGAATCCCTTTTGCCCAATCTCCTTGTGCAAGGGTAATGCTTCGGCTTACGATTCTGTGCTATATTTCTTGAAAGACTCAAAAACTCTTAAATAAAAAAAAGAATTAAAAAAGAAAAACTGTTGAAATGTCTGGGCCAAACATTCGCTACATATCTTGTCACGTATTCTGAGTCATGATCTTAGAGCTTTATTGACGCTTTGGAGTAACGATCGAACACTCTGTACAGAGGGATGCAGAAGGTCGGCTTCCCCATATAGCTATGAAAGAGATCAAACTCCTGGACATGAGAGATTACTCCACTCCGAAGTGTTGGTCCTTCCGATACAAGTAAGTCTGCTGTAACTTGCAATTCTTAACATTTAATTGATACATGTGTATCAACATAAGTGTTTTCTATTTTTTCGGTTGAATCTCTTGAAATCACTCATTTAATTGGTAATCTGATAGGACAGGGGGTGGATCAACAACAAGAGCCGTATGTATGTGCTGGAGAATACTGGTACAGTGGAAAATACCTTGAGACTTCTACTTTGTCACCTTGGGTCAAGAGTATGTTTAATCAAAACCAAAAATTAACTTGTTTTCTATGTGAAGAGTTGAATGTGTTGCAGTAAGTTTGAAGGCTGGTATTGTTGTGCAGGAGGGTTCATCAAGTATCACAACTTGAAGGTGCATGATGGGTTTGTTGTTTATGAAGATGGAAGTGGAAAGCTGGTTAGTTACTTCTCCATCTATACATTATTTTTAAGCCTCGTCCCCATCTAGTACAGATCACACCCATATCAATCAGAACTCTATAATGATGCTATGACACTGTACAGTATCAGCATGTATGCCTGTTAGTGTTCCCCTCTAGCGTCAAGGAGTTGGGTTTACTTTCAGACCGCTGTAATCGAAGACAAACTTCCTCTAATTGATTGACAATGAAGTATCTACATTATTAATCTAGTTTATACCAACATACTTGTAAAACACACTCAAGATTACTTATTTTATTTGATTACCATGCTAACACTGCTCTGGAATATGTTTTGTCTTTACTTGAATGGGGTTGAGAGATAACAGACACACAGTCGTTGTTCATGTCTTCAATTATCGTAATGTTGTATTATATTGTGAAGTATACCTGATTAAGGTTTGGGAGCAGGTAGTTTGTGGCCAGAAGAAGAATACCACCAGATCGGACTGTTCGGTTGGTCTACCGAGAGATAATACCCTTTGTGAGAGCGATACCTTTTCAAAGAAACCATTCATCTCCGGTGAAGGTGGAAGTAACTGTGTCAATGCCATCACCACCATCTCCCTAGCTACTGTTTCTACCAATCCCTCTTCTGGAGTTGATTCTGGTATGAATTATAGTGGAGTTCCAATACTTACTGAGGAGCCAGAGCCGTTCCACTCTTGAAGTTTTATTTAATTCTGAAGCTGGTTGCAGTTGCTTATGTGCTTCCACTTCCCTCAGTAACAGTTCAGATTTCAACACATGATTGACGTCTGCAGAGAGTACAAGCATCCATGGTGGAGAGCTAGAGAGTGAAATGAGGCTACGTAAGAAAGTTAATATGACATCGACGCTTGCTCCACGTCAACTCATCAATTGACAGCATATCTTGCAGTTTGAATTGTCAAGATATCATCGAGATTGTTGTGGAGCCTAAGGAGCAAAGCTATGATTCTGGTGATGAAAATAATGGAATTAGAGGGAGTTGGATGAGCACTGCCTATCCTACGCACCAGGGCGAATGTAAATCACTGCCTGTCTCCAAATGAAAACCATTGAATCCAGGAAAAAAGTACCCTGGAATTGGAGTTTATCCGTCTTCTAAAGTTCCTCACTGTATCTGACGCAGTCGATCGGCAGTTGATTAATACAGCTTTGGAGTCCACAGTAGACGTAGGACAGGTTAAGGAGTATTGATTTGCAGTCTAATAAAGATTCATTTGTCTTCAGCTACATCATGCTAGATCATTTTGTCTTGTTTATTTGTAAATAGGTGATCAGTTACAGGAGCTTAATACAATTAAGGGGGACCTTTTGAGCGCACATTTCCAGAAAAATATCACAAAGATTGTGAGCTGGAAGTTGCGTGAGCAAGCATCGTTCGCCTCTCCAATTGGTCTTCGTAGTTTTTGGAAATTTTGGCCAGCTTTTCCCAAGTCTCATATGGTTTTGTAAAAACCTCTTTCATCGACATTTGAAATTAGCACATTCACATGTTTGATAGGATGTAGGCTGCTGTATTATTCCCAAAACTGTGTGATTTGCACACGTAGTGAGGTGGAGGTAAAGTTTGGTTAAGCTGATGGGTGATAATTTATTGTGTCTTTAGGTCGAACATTGAGCACGGTTTGGGGTGTTATGCTCGATCACACCACTTCTGGCGGTTCTTGAGGTTTCCCATGCAAGTGCTGGAATATGTTCCTATCTCTGAACCTTTCAGGACATGAGTGGTTGACGAGGCATTAATACTGTGCTGCTGTGCTAGCTGGTTGGGGGATGGGGTTTCGAATAAAAGACCACAAGCAAGATCATGATCCTCGGCGATTTTATTCATTTACACATGCAGTTCACACTTCCCGACGCAAGGGTCGTATTGGATCTATAAGGCTTTCAAGTGAGTCTAAGACCTGTTCAGTTGCAATCTTGTTATCGTCTGTATCTTTCCCGACGGTATTACCCTGTGGCATTTCATTTCACAAACGATTTTGCATATTTTCTTCAGATGAGCAACCTCAATAGATGCCAGCCCTTAGTGCTGAAGATTGGGTCCTTAAAATCCTATCCATGATATGTTAATTGGTGGAAACAATAAGAAAGAAAGAAACAGGGATGGTTGAATTTTCATGAAACTGTGCACAAGTAGAGCTAGTTGAATGACATAGATGGTCAATGTTTAAAGAAGATTCTATCAACTTTGAGTTTGATTAGAAACTTATCTTTTTGTTATTCTGATTATCATTTTTGACCACTATGTGGATCCTTTAAATTGGTTTCAAATCTTGATGTTTCATCTTGTAAACTGACCTAAGATTAGTGTGTAGAGTTTAAATGTGTTGGAATTGTGATTTATGATCCTTATAGTTTACAAAAAGATTGCAAATTGGAATTAGGGTATTAGATTTTATTTGGAAATAAAATTTCAGATTCAGTGAAATTTAGGATTTCATGTTGCTATTGGGATTAGGAATTAGACTTTAGAACTTTGAGTATTTTTTGTTTTCACACTTTTTGGATCAGATTTTCATCAAAGAGACTAATAAAATAGCTAGAGAAAAATGATTTATTCATTTTGAAATGGATTTAAGATTTGATTTAAGAAATCTTGATTTAGATAACTCTAAGTGACACTCTATATTTTATATATTTCATAGAATTGAATGTTTATGTGATATGATTGCTAATAAAATTTCATAAAACTTGAATCTAATTATAGAAACATGATGTATAGTCAAACTTCAATATTAATTAGATTTACTTAAAGATCAAGATTGGATGTATAACTTTCATAAAATTTTAAAATACTAATTAGATTCTTTTGAAGGTAAATTAGTTGGTAAATTCACTTTTTGATTAATTGACTATAGACCTTGTTGAGTGACATAGATGGTCAATATTTCTAGATGATTCTAAAAACTTTAAGGTTAGTTAGATACTTGTCTTTTTATTATTATTCTTATTTTTAATTTTAATTACTATGTTAATCCATTGAAATGGTCTCAAGTTTTGATGTTTCATATTGTCAACTTACCTAAGATTAGTGTATAGAGTTTAAATATGTTAGAATTGTGGTTTAGGATTAATGAAGATTATAAATAAGATTACAAATTTAGATTAGGATATAAGAATTTATATAGAAATAAAGTATCAAATGTAGTATAATTTAAGATTTCATCTTGTTTTTGAAATCAAAAGTTAGATTCTATATTATTAAATAATATTAATTTTTAAATTGATTTTATTAGGATATAATTTTATTAGGATATAATTTTATTTTAGGATATAAAATATATAATTTTATTAGGATAAAATATACCAAAATATACCAAAATAAATGATTTTATTGATTTTAAATTGAATTAAGGATTTGATTTGAGAAATCTTGATTTTGATAACTCTAAGAGACATTCTATGTTTCATAAGATTTAATGTTTATGTGATATGATTGTTAATCAAATTTTATTAAATTTGAATATAATTATAGAAATATGATGTATGGTTAAATTTTAATATTAATTAGATTTTTTTTTCTTTTTCTTTTTCTATGGTAAGATTCTTAAAGATCAATATTAAATGTATAAGTTACATAGAATTTTAAAATATTGATTAGATTCTTTTGAAGGTAAATTATTTGATTTAATGATTTTTTTATTTGAATTTTTGATTAATTATCAATAAGAGCTTATGTAGGATAATTATTTTGAATATATGTAAATACATTTTCTTTAATTTTTGAATGTTAATATTTTTATTGTTTGTTTGCAATGACATTCATAATTTAGAATCATTAATTCAAAAAATCAAACATTTTATAATTTATTTATTTTTATTTTTTATTTTTTATAAATATTAAAATAATTAAAGATAAAATATTTATTAAATTAATTTTATAAAATAAATTTATATAAAATTTATATATTTCTAAAAAATAAATTAACTATAGAATTGATATTTCTATTAAACTGAAGTAACAATATTTCTTCACATTTTCAAGATAAATTTAATGGCACAAATCTACAAAATTAACGAATAATTTATCTTGGCTTATCTTTTGAAATTATTTATTAATGATTTCTTAATAGCTTGGTGGTTTCTAATTGCTGTAAAGATGCTTAAATTTCTAGAATTTATAAAAGAGGATAATAATTATGTTTAATATATTAATAGAAATATTTTGAAAGAATATAAGATTTATATTAAAGATTTGAGGATTTTCTTGTAAATATAAATTAAAATAAAAATATTTATTAGAAAATTAATAATATTATGAAGGTATGTCAACAACTATTGATTTGATTGAGTGATGTATATAAGGTGGAGATTTTTGATGCTTTAAAGTTATTATTACATATAAAATTTTATAAATTATGAAATACATAAATAAAATATCTTTATAAGAATTCATAAAGAAAGTGATTTATACTTTTGTATGTATGTGAGGATAAATTTCACCCCTCAATCCAAATTACAAGATGGCATCAATTAAGAATTCTTTGTAATTGGTAGTATGAAATGAAAGAAGCAAATAATAAGAACAAAAGAAGAAAAAACACAAAACAAGTGAAATAAATGAAATCAAGCAATTACACACCTCAAAACTTGATCACAATATATTCATTAAATTTTAACTTAGTAAAAAAAAAAAAATACTAAAAATTATTTTTAAAACAACAATTTTTTTTTCTTTTTTTTTCTTTCCAATGATATAAAAAACATATAAATTCAAGTTATTATGAGTAGGTGTTACAAACATATGTATTCACTTCAATAATTACCTATATGATTAGATAGAAGTAGATAAAAGTAGATTAATTGTATAATATTTTCTTGAGAAGTTTCCTAAAAGCTTTATAGATGCTACTTTGATTTTATATGTGTTTGTAGTTAATTGATAGGCTAAAAAATTGGTCAGAAAATTAATCACGTATTAAACATATTGGTAGCTTACAAAACAAGCTAACTATGTGGCCCACATATAGATAACTTGTCTGGCAAGTTAAAACATATGTTTAGCATAGCCAATACATGTTGGATGTCCTATAGCATTTTGCCACATAACTCTTAGTTAGAAAGATTTTATGGATACAAGAGTGAAGCCTTTTTCACTCTTGTCAATACCTTTCTAATTGTTAGTCATATTTTAAGACTTTTTAGTCTTTTAACTTTGATAATTACCATTCTAGTTCAATATATTACCATCTTTGAATAGTTCTTTAGTCTTTTTAAGTGACATAAGAGAGTATTATAGATTTATTTTTGTAAGATTCATGTCCTTGATACTATGATAGTTCTATATACTTTGTAGGACTATAATTAAGATAAGATAATATATATACTAGCTTTAACATAGATTATTAATAAATGACTACTTGAATCTAAAGATATTATAGAAGAAATTGAGCTATAAAAAGTAAGTCTTTGAGATTAAAATTTGAATAATATTTTTAATATCATTTAATGTATTTCAATTCTAGTAATATTTAGCCATTTTTGGACTTATGTATTTCTACTCGATTAATGGGATTTTGAATTAAACTATCAAAAAATTAAAATTATGAAAAATCCAATCTATCTGAGGATTATACTTTTCTAACCAACATAATGCTAAAATAATCGAATTGGATGGAGATCTTATTACATTAAATATTACTATCATATTATGATCTTTAATTGCTATATCTAAAGAAACGATCTCATGTATAACATCTCTAAAAAATACCAAACGACCATCTATGACTTTTACATATATAGGTTTAGTTTTTTTGATTAATAATATCTCTTATTTTTTGACAAAAACTTTGTCTATAAAACAAGTTAAGGCTCTTGAATCTAATAAAGCTAAAACTTTGTGATTTTTTCATCTTCAATTAACTTCTATAGTAAAACAAGTTGAGGGATGTGAAGAGAGAATAAGACCTTAAGTAGGAATTATACAAGATTCTAGCCGCATGGTCCCTATTATGACTGGAGAAACTGGTTTTTTGATAGCTTATTGTTATGATATAATATGATTAATACGTTAAAAGAGTGAAGAAATTATTATATTATAGAAGATCTTACTTCATATATTGTAGCAAATTATCTTAGAAAATAGACAATAGTCCAAAAGAAAGTAAAATTAAAGATGTAAATGCTACCTTTTTGCAAAGTAGGCTTCTATTTACTTTGTAAGGCCATAAATAAGGCAAAACAAGGTAGATTAGAAAAATAAAAAACATGAGTATATGTAAAAGAAA